TGACGGATTATCTTAGCCTAAGTGACTCCGACTTGATGAGACGATGAGCATATAGACAACATAGAGCGAATTAAATTCAGCACTTTTATTTCCAACATGCGCCCATTCATGGCTGTAATTCATGCAATTCATGCAAAGTTACGTCTTTATTGGGACAGGACTTGACGGATTATTTTACGTGACTCTGCTCTATTTCTTCTATTTCTTCGAGCCAAGCTGCATAAACTGCATATCAGGCATTTATGTAATACATCTAATTTGTGCATTAATGGCTGTTATGTTAAAGTTTACTAACTACAGTAAATCAAGTACCTGTGCACGCCGTTGTTGTTGTCTCGTCTCCCCTCAGACGCGCTGCAATGTTGATCCTGCGTGCAATTCTCAAAACATCCACAAGATGTTTATCGGTGAATCCGATATTACAAAACCGATATCCGATTATTGTAAAATGCTTAAATATCGGGAAAAATATCGGTAAATGATATATCGATCGATCTCTACTAAGAATCCTGCTTTCAGCAATTGGTCTAAATTGATATTATTTCCCTTTCTCCATATGTTTTCTTTTTCTAGCCCAATGACTTTTCAATATCGCTGAAAGCTCAGTCCAAAAACGACGGATTATTTTACGTGACTCTGTGAGATCATCTCTATTTCTTCGAGCCAAGCTGCATAAACTGCATATCAGGCATTTATGTAATACATCTAATTTATGCATTAATGGCTGTTATGTTAAATAAAGTTTACTAACTACAGTAAATCAAGTACCTGTGCACGCCGTTGTTGTTGTCTCGTCTCCCCTCAGACGCGCTGCAATGTTGATCCTGCGTGCAATTCTCAAAACATCCACAAGATGTTTATCGGTGAATCCGATATTACAAAACCGATATCCGATTATTGTAAAATGCTTAAATATCGGGAAAAATATCGGTAAATGATATATCGATCGATCTCTACTAAGAATCCTGCTTTCAGCAATTGGTCTAAATTGATATTATTTCCCTTTCTCCATATGTTTTCTTTTTCTAGCCCAATGACTTTTCAATATCGCTGAAAGCTCAGTCCAAAAACAAGCATTTCAAAGTCCAACTGAAGGACAACTTGTACTGCATCGGACAACGCAAGTTTAACTCAATGGAGGAGTTGGTGGAACACTACAAAAAGGCGCCCATCTTCACCAGCGAACAGGGCGACAAACTCTACCTGGTCAAGGCTCTGGCTGCCTCCTGATCCAAGCAGAAAGAATATCCAGTTAACAGTGACTACACTTCCAGACAGACAGACAGACTGTGAATATCAAGCATTCCAAGAATGGGAGGTACAGGGAGAGACGGACAATGGACTCCCGTTCATTCGCTCGGAAACTTGCTCGAATTTCACTGAGGGACACACCCAATGTATCAAAATACAGTATGTTTAGACCATAGGTGATTCAGTGTATTTTGATGTCAACATGTATTAGAATTACAACCTATGTCTTCTTTTGTTAATATATATTCTTTTCATTGATTTCGAAAATGTATTTTTCATTTGTTCTTTAACTTCCCTGCCAATTTTTTAACTGTCCTTTCAAGTTTCTGCTGTTTTAAGTCCTGACTGCAGAAGAACTTTGCTCAACATGTTTCAAAGGTCTAACATACTGTCTGTTACTGCCTGCATTGCCTGAACCACACGGAACTGTTGAAATTGACGTAACTGCTATATTTATTAGGAATCAATATTTCTGCAAAATGCTCCAAAGCTCAGTCCAAAAACAAGCATTTCAAAGTCCAACTGAAGGACAACTTGTACTGCATCGGACAACGCAAGTTTAACTCAATGGAGGAGTTGGTGGAACACTACAAAAAGGCGCCCATCTTCACCAGCGAACAGGGCGACAAACTCTACCTGGTCAAGGCTCTGGCTGCCTCCTGATCCAAGTAGAAAGAATATCCAGTTAACAATGACTACACTTCCAGACAGACTGGGAATATCAAGCATTCCAAGAAAGGGAGGTACAGAGAGAGATGGACAATGGACTCCCGTTCATTCGCTCGGAAACTTGCTCGAATTTCACTGAGGGACACACCCAATGTATCAAAATACAGTATGTTTAGACCATAGGTGATTCAGTGTATTTTGATGTCAACATGTATTAGAATTACAACCTATGTCTTCTTTTGTTAATATATATTCTTTTCATTGATTTCGAAAATGTATTTTTCATTTGTTCTTTAACTTCCCTGCCAATTTTTTAACTGTCCTTTCAAGTTTCTGCTGTTTTAAGTCCTGACTGCAGAAGAACTTTGCTCAACATGTTTCAAAGGTCTAACATACTGTCTGTTACTGCCTGCATTGCCTGAACCACACGGAACTGTTGAAATTGACGTAACTGCTATATTTATTAGGAATCAATATTTCTGCAAAATGCTCCAACAATAAAAGTGAGTGACCAAAACCAATATTCAGAATTAGGCACAATCTTTTTGGAATTAATCTTGAACTATAGTCTTGCAACTGCATGTTTCCAACATTCAAACAAGCTTGAGGTCTTGTTGAGGATGACATCTGTATTTATGAGGGGTAACTTTTCAGAAGTTCTGCCTCCCTGATAATTAAGGTGCTGATTATCGTGGTTTGTCAGCTAGTCCTAAATTTATCCACACATGTTGGATCTGTCAGAATCCATGCCATGCAATAAATATGATGTCTCCGCTTTGTCAAAGGGCTTAGCTGTGATTAATGTCTTCTACTAGACGTTTATTTGAATGAATATGGGAGTTAGCTTTGCAGATCTTCATTGGAGCCTGAATTGCAATGCCATGACTGATTATTAAAGAAGATTAAACCACATTGGTATACACAATAGGTCTTTTATGATTCAGTGTTTTACTAATAAAAGCGGTCTTTCATGATCAAGGCTGAAATTGCATTACAACTGATGCAATGGGTATGGTTTTAGTTATCGGTGGTGGTGGTGGATTAGTTTAAAGTTTCATAAGATGTTTGCCTTATCTTTGCTTTGCACTCATTTGGTTGCTCACTTTCTCAAATGAGCATACGTATTGTAGTGTAGAGGATGAATGAAAGCATGTCAGCATGAAGGCAGCATTGTGTACTCCGGTTGCAAGGAAGGATCCACTTCGCTTGGCAATCAAGATCCACAGTGCTGCTTCCTTTTAGTTTTCAACAGTTTATGATAAATGGAAAGAGATGTTCCATTCAGGATCAGATGTTTGAATGTAAAGCTTCATAGATAAGTATGTTTGGTGGACCAGGCAATGGAAAAGACACTTCCCTGGACACGTCTCTGATTCAAGTGAGAAAACATGGATGTTTCTTTTCTGAAGACTTGTGAGTCGGGTGATGATCTGGGCTTGTCTCCAGGGGACCATCACTACGACTGTAATTACTTCTCCAGCTGTTCGGAGCTGGACTGGGGCGAGAGTTGAGCAATGGGGATTTCTTGGGGGAGTGTGTGGGGGGAAAAATAAATAGCTGAGACATGCAGAGTTTGCACGAGTGATTTAATCTTGAATTAAGTGGAAATGTCAGATTTCTATCCATGTTACCAGTTCAGATTGGTTCAGTGTAAGTAAAGTGGTTCTCAACAGGTTTTGCTTCAGGACCAAGTGGTGACTCAACATTACCAAGCAGTATCATTTTTCTACTGCCTTGAGTAGTTTTGATAATGGTTTTTGAGGCTAAGGGGATGCCAAGCAACAAGTACTTGTTGGATAACGTCTACCAAGACCCTATCAAAACAACAATGCTACTCAATTTGGGGTTTTGATGAACTAGTTGAGATCCACTTGTTTTGGATGAGGGATATCGGAGACCTGTAGTCTTATCAGATAGTTTGTGCTTTAAAATGTGCCTTCATCTCAGTTGTTGGAACCAAAACGTTACAATAAGATGCACACGTTATTTGAGTATCACTTTGCATGTGCGTAATACACCCCTGATAAGTGACAGATGTGCACGGACCATGTCCTGGTCATACAAACATCCCTATTGGGGAACTTACCATGATTTGTCTCCTGACTTAAGTGACCTTACCATATAGACCAGGGGTGTCCAATCCTGTTCCCGGAGGGCCAACATCCTGCAGAATTTAGCTCCAACTAGCTTCAACACACTTGCCTGGAAGTTTCTAGTGAGTCTGAAGACCTGGAATTATGTTTAATTAAGGCTGGAAGCCTGGAACTAAACCCTGCAGGACAGTGGCCCTCCAGGAACAGGTTTGGAAACCCCTGATATAGAACTTAGTCGGAGTAAAAGCCATATTTAAGTTCAGAGGGTTATACCAGGGGTGTTCAGTCCTGTTCCTAAAGGGTCCACTTTCATACAGGGTTTAGCTCCAACACACCTGTGTGGAAGTTCCTAGTGATCCTGAAGACCTAGATTAGCTGGTTCAGGTGTGTTGGAAGTAAATTCTGCAAGAAGTTTTCCATCAGTGGTTCCCAATCCTGGTCCTGGAGAACTCCCAACACTGCACGTTTTTGATGTCTCTCTTATCTGACACACAC